GTGGCTGCTGCTGTGGCTGCTGCTCTTGTTGTTGGTGTTGCAGCTGCTGCTGCTGTTGCTGCTGTTGCTGCTGCTGCTGTTGCTGCTGTTGCTGCTGCTGCTGTCGCTGCTGCTGCTGCTGCTGCTGCTGCATGGGCGTTTGCGTGCATGCGCAGATAAATATATATCTATTTCTTATTTGTCAACTTCTATCTAATTATGAATGCATGCGCTGCAAGTTGCATTATTTGTCTTTGATCTTTTGTGCATGCAAAGGCCCTTTGTTTGCTGCTGCACGCACCAGTGCGTGCTGCTGCTGCGTCGGCTGCTGCTGCACGACAGCAGCAGCAGCAGCAGCAGCAGCAGCAGCAGCAGCGGGAAAGGACTTGCTTTGCTGCTTTTTGCACAGGCCGGCGGCTGACTCTTTCTGCCATTCTTTGTCTTTCAACTTCCGTTTTTCTTTTTTTTGTTTTTTATTCTTCGAAAGAAATGGCGGAAGTCCGCAGCAGCAGAGAGGGCCTTCAGCTGTACAGACAGCTCCAGCTGCAGCAGCTGCAGCGCCAGCTGCAGCACGACTGGACGCAGCTGCAGCAGCGCGACAGCTACCGAGACTTCAAAGCTGCTGCTGCTCGTCCTGTTGCTGCTGCTGCTGCTGCTGCTGCTGCTGAGGACCGAGCCGACACGGCTGCTGCTGCTGCTGCTCCTGCTGCTGCTGCTGCTCCTGCTGCTGCTGCTGCCGGGGCAGCAGAAACCCGCAGCAGCGACTCCCTCCGCACTGGCGCAGCAGCAACTGCTGCGGCCAGGGGAGGCCCTGCCAGGATATCAGGGGCAGCAAGAGCAGCAGCAGCAAATGGTTGCTGCCTCCCCAGACAACAGCAGATCTGCTTGTCCGCGTTGTATGTGTTCAGAGATTTTCGCAAACGGGCAGCAGCAGCAACAACAACGACAGCAGCAGCAGCAGCAGCAACATCAGCAGCAGCAGCAGCAGCAGCAGCAGCGCCAGTTAGCAGCAGCAGCAGTTCAAAGCGCCCCCGTCTCATTCTCGTTTAAACGCAAAGACCACAACAAAGTGAAAGAAGAAATGCAGAGGAATCTGCAGGTGGCAGCAGCAGACACAGATGCAGCAGCAACAGCAGCAGCAGCAGCAGCAGCAGCAAAAGCAGCAGCAGCGACAGAAGCAGCTGCAGATGCTGCAGCAAATTCAGCAGCAGCAGCAGCGCCAGTGGCAGCAATTCCCAGCATTGTGCGCTTTAGCGAGGAAGAGGAGCAGCAAATAGCAGCTTTGCTGCTGCGGCACTCGAACTCGCAGCTGCTGCTGCTGCAGCAAATAGAAGACAAGCAGCAGCAGCTGCAGCAGCAGCAGCTGCAGCAGCTGCTGCTGCTGCTGTTCTGCGTGCTGCTCGTGGGCTTCCTGAACGCAGGGCCAGACGCAGTGCTGGGAGCAGCAGCAGCAGCAGACATCCAAGAACTGGAAATGGCAGCAAATAATAATAATAATAATAATAATAATAATAATAATAATAATAATAATAATAATAATAATAATAATAATAAAAGTGATAATAATAAAACTGCTGCTGTTGCTGCTTTCATCAACGGCGTGGGAGCGCTGGGGGCTCTTTGCCAGGTGGGCGGGCAGCAGCAAATTGCTGCTGCTGCTGCTGCTGCTGCTGCTGCTGCTGCTGCCGGAATTTAATTTAAATAATATTTCAAACTATTTTAATACTTTTCAGTCGTTTATTTCCTCTTTTGCTGCTGCTGCGGCTGCTGCTGCTGTTGTTGTTGTTATTGTTGTTGCTGTCGTCTGCCAGCTGCTGCTGCTTGCTGCTGCTTGCTGCTGCTTGCTGCTGCTTGCTGCTGCTTGCTGCTGCTTGCTGCTGCTTGCTGAACTGGAGTGCCGTGTGTCTTTAACCTGCATTTCTGTTTTAACTCTTTCCTCAATTCCCTTTCCAGTTTTCTTTTAAAATTAAATTGAATTAAATTAAATTTAATTAAATTTAATTTAATTTTAATTTAATTTAATTTAATTTAATTTAATTTAATTTAATTTTGAATTTCTGCTTTCCTGTGTGCTTTGCTTTGCATGCACTTAGGGTGTATGTACAGCTGCAGTGAGCGACGCATTCGGCTGGCCAGTTTTATTTTTGCTGCTTTCACTTTTATCATTTTTTGCTGCTGCACTTTTGCTGCCAGCAGTTTACAAAGAAAGAAACAAAGTTTACTGAAACCCAAGTGCTGCTGCTGCAGCTCGAGCTGATGCTGCTGCTGCTCCCAGAGCTGCTGCTGCTGCAGCTCGAGCTGCTGCTGCTGCTGCTCGCGGAGCTGCTGCTGCTGCTGCTCCCAGAGCTGCTTCTGCTGCAGCTCGAGCTGCTGCTGCTGCTGCATCTCGAGCTGCTGCTGCTGCTGCTCTCAGAGCTGCTGCTGCTGCTGCTCGCAGAGCTGCTGCTGCTGCTGCTTTCAGAGCTGCTGCTGCGGAGACTGGCTGCTGTTTGAGATGCATGCAACTTGAAATCTTTGCATCTTTTTTATTTTATTTTTTTATTTTTGAAAAAGCAAAACCCCCTTGGCGGTGCAGCAGCAGCTGCACAGACAGCCCTTTTCCCGCAGTGTTGCTGCAGTTGTTTTTTGTTTTTAAATCAAAAAATTAAAAATTAAAAAAATGTTTTTTATTTAAACTGATCTGCTGCTGCCAGCAGCAATTTGCTTCTAAAAACTTTGCTGTTCAAGAGCTGCAGCAGCAGCAAAAGAAAAAACATTTTAAAAGAATTTTCGCCTTTTCGAATTCCAAAAGTCAAAAACTAAATTGATAATATATTTTCATTTACGGAAATATATTTTTCATAAAAATCAATTATTCCAGTCCCCGCATGCATATTGTTTCCTGACTCTAACTTCTTAAATTATTCTTTATTTGAATTTATTTTAATTTTATGTGGAGTTTAAAATGGCCCAAAAAGCTCTGAAGTGGAGTTTGAGGTGTACAGTGTGCAGTGTACATACACCCCATTCGTTCGGCTTTCCGCAAAGGTCTTGCGGGTTCGAGTGTCTCGACAGCAGAAGGCGAATATTATGCATTTTATGAATTGCAAAGTAAAATAAAATCATTTTATTTCAATAAATATATTTAATTTGCAAAATAAACCGCGCAAATGGGCCCAGTGGCCCCCTCGTCACCAATGGACCTCCGCCCAGAGAGGCCGTGCGCGGTCGGCGCCGCCTCAATTTTCGTCTTTTTTCGCGGAAATAAAACAAATAAAAGTTTTATTTATTCAAAAAAAGATAAATTTTGAATATTTTGAAGAAATTAACTCCAAAAAAAGCTCCTTTTCGCTCATTTCCCGCTTTTCCAGTTCGGGGCCTCCCAGTCGGCAGTGGACACGCGAGAAGCCCTGTGTCCGCAGTGTCTGCCCCGCCTCGCCCTCGAAAACGATTTAAATTCTTTAAATTGAATTTAAATCATTTTTTAAAATTAAAATTAAATTAATTTTCGAGTTTTCTTCTTTCGAAGCGCGAGAAGTTCCCGGCGAACATCGAGGTGTCTGTACACCCCAGCGCGCCGCGCGGGAGCACCGCCGCCGCCTCCGCGCCCGATCTGCGCACGAAGGGACCTTTCCATCAGTTTAATTTAAATTAATTTTAATTAAAATGAATTTATTTTATTTTTATTTCATATTTGCTTCTTTCGGGGGTCGCGGGGGCCGTCCGCGCCTCCCGCTTCCCGCTGCAGCCCCCCTGGCCTTCAGCTTGCTGTTTTTCGCCTCTCTTTTGGCCGCGTTTGCTGCAGATGCAGCAGCAGCAGCAGCACCAGCAGCAGCAGCAGCACCAGCAGCAGCAGCAGCAGAGGAAGGGGCGGAAGAGGAGCATGCAGAGGCCGGGGAAGGCCTTTTTGAATACCGGAAAGTTGGGACGGAGTTGGTGGACTTGTGGCGTACGTACACCTCAATGGGCGAGGCCCTGAACCACTTGCTGCGGGACTACAACGTGGCTTTGCTGCAGCAGCAAAAGGTGGAGGTTGCTGCAGTGTTGGCAGCAAAGCACAAGGCAGCAGCAGCAGCAGCAGCGAAGGCTGCTGCTGCTGCTGCTGCTGCGCCTGCTGCTGCTGCTGCTGCTTCCGGGCCGCTCCGGCGGCGCGCAGCACTTCAAAAGGAGCAGCGGCGCAAACGCGCGCTGCTGCTGCTGCTGCATGCAGAGGCCATGCAGCTGAAAGAACTGCAGCAGCAAATCAAAAAAATAGACGAAAGAGTTGGAAAACTCCCCCCCTACAGTGCTGCTGCTGCTAACATTGCTTTGATTCGCTCGGGTGCTGCTGCTGCAGTCAACGTGGCGCAGGCGCTGCACAGTTCTGCTGCTGCGCTGTTTCACCGCGCGCTGCAGCAGTACGTGGCGCTGCTGCAGCAGTTCAGCAGCAAACAAAACGAATTGTTTATTTTAATTCAAAAAATAAAACAAAATGCTTTTGATCAAAGAGAAAGACTTTCGCTCATTCAAAACGAGGCTCTCTTCGACAGAGCCTTCGACACGGACCCCCCCCTGGCCTTCAACTTCGCCGGAAAGCTGCAATGAGCCTTTTAATCTTTGCAGCAACTAATCCATTTCAACTCATTTGCTTTTTAATTTCTAAATTATACCATTTTAATTCTTTTATTTTTATTTAAATGACCGTTTTAATCCCATCCGGCCAAAAAGGCGCGGCCAGGAGCTGCGCATACACCCCGAGCTGCGCATACACCCCAAGCTGCCTATACACCCCAGGGCCCGGCCCGCCGCTTCGAAGCGAAGCCGCTCTTTCGGAACTCTTTTGTTTATCATTTTAAATAATCCCGAGAGTTTTAATTGTTTTTAATTCAATAAATTTAAATTAATTAATTCAATTTCTCCTTTTGTTCTCCAGTTGATCCCCCTTTCGCACCATCACCGCCGCCGCCTGCTCAGACCTCATTATTGCCAAGTTCGCCAGCTTCTTTATTATTTGGCAGCGCTCTTCCTGCATCTGCAAACAAATAAACAAACAAATAAGCAAACAAATAAATAAATAAATAAATAAATAAATAAATAAATAAATAAATAAATAAATAAATAAAGAATAAATAGTGAGAATTAGACCAAGTGGCGCACTTGGGGGGAACACTGAGGGTTTGCATGCAGAGGAAAACTTCGTTTGATAAAAAACTGCATTTTGGAAAATTAAAAAAAGATATTTAAAAGACTTTTGCAGATCTTTTAAAAAGACAAAAAGCAAACTTTGAACAAAGCCAAGTGGCAGCAAACGCATGCAACTTCGGGGCTTTGCTGCACCTGCTGGTACTGGCCCAGCAGCCCTCGTGCTGCAGCAGCAAAAGCCCCAGCCTTTGCTGGTGCTGCTGCAGCAGCAAAGTTTGCAGCAAACCGCCACCGCAGCAGCTCCACTCCCTGCACTTCCAGGGCCCCCTGCAGCACTGCCATTAGACCAATGGTCCCCAAGAAGAAGGCTGTGGGGCGGAAGCCCGCAGGTCCACTGGTCTCTTCGGGGGGCCCCGGGGGCCCCTGGGGGGCCCCCTGGGGGGGCCCCTGGGGGGCCCCCAGGGGGGCCCCCGGGGGCCCCCCTGCTGCTGCTGGGGCCTTTTGGGGTTTTTTTAAATTTGCGAAACGCGGGTGGAGATAATCGAAGGTTTGCACAAGTGTATGTACACCTGAAACCAGCAGCCGCACCAACGGCAAGTCCGGCACTGCAGCAGCAGCAGCAGCAGCAGCTGCTGCTGCTGCATCTGCTGCTGGCGCCTCTCCCGCTGCTGATTCTTCCGAAACTCCTGCTGCTGCTGCTTCTGGTGCTGCTGCTGCTGCTGCTGCAGTCACAGCGTCTGCAGCAGCGGCGGCGCTCCCGGCAGCAGCCTCCGCAGCAGCAGCAGCAGCGCCGTGCCCATCAGCAGCAGCAGCAGCAGCAGCAGCAGCAGCAGGAGCTGCAGCAGCAGCCTCCGTGGTTTCGGGGTCCAGCAGCACCTCCGCCACCGCCAGCAGCAGCAGCGCTTCATTTAAAGCCCTTTCTGTCTCGTCGAAGGCGGCGCTCTCAACAGCACCAGCAGCAGCAGCAGCAGCAGCAGCAGCAGCAGCAGCAGCAGCAGCAGGGGGAGCTGCGCAGGCCAGCCGAAGCAAATAAAACACAAAACTTGAAATAAATGCAAAAGTGAAATAAAGCATTTATGCATTTCCAAGTATTTCTCAATCCAGCGAGAACAAAGCTGCATCTTTTCTTTTTCTTTTCCTTTAAATATTTAAATGAAATTATTTCTCCTCTTATTTGTTTTTAATTCATTTCCCAGTCTGCGTGCTGCTTTCTGGGTAGGCTAGCTATCTGTAGCTAGCTAGCTGTGGATAGCTAGCTATAGCTAGCTAGCTGTACCTAGCTAGCTGTAGCTAGGTAGCTGTACCTAGCTAGCTGTAGCTAGCTAGCTGTAGCTAGCTAGCTAGCTGTAGCTAGCTAGCTGTGGCTAGCTAGCTGTAGCTAGCTAGCTGTGGCTAGCTACCTGTAGCTAGCTAGCTGTGGCTAGCTAGCTGTGGCTAGCTAGCTGTGGCTAGCCAGCTGTGGCTAGCTAGCTGTGAAGATATCTGCCTGCAGAGTGCCGCGTCTTACCCGCATTTTGCTGGCCCGTTGCCTCTGCATCATTTTGGCAGTCTCGCTTTTCGCTGCTGCTGCTGCCGCTGCTGCTGCTGCTGCTGCCGCTGCTGCTGCTGCTGCTGCTGCTGCTGCTGCTGCTGCTGCTGCTGCTGCTGCTGCTGCTGCTGCTGCTGAGGGGGTCGGCCTGTTGGAGTCTGGCGCAGAGGCAGGCGGCGACTTGGGCGAGCATTTGTCGGGAGATGTTTGCGATTTGTGTTTTTTCATTTATTTCTTTTGGAATTGTTTTTTTGGAATTAATTTTGTTTTTGAAATTAACTTTTAATTTAAAATTAATTCTCAACTTCAACAACAAAAACAAAAAGACCCGCAGCAAACTCGACAGCTGCTCGTCGCCGAAAGTCGAAATTTCGGCGGAGACGAAAACTGCCGACAGCAAATCCACCAGCAAGTGCTGCATCCAGCAAAACCCACAAGTTGAAGTTTTTATTTCATTTAATTAATTAATTTAATTAATTAATTAATTAAATTTAATTAATTAATTAATTAATTGACTAATTGATTAATTAATTTATTTATTTATTAATAGATCAATTAATTGATTAATTGATCAATTAATTGATTAATTAATTAATTAATTGCAATTAATTAATTAATTGTTTTGAATAAACTGAAGTGCTTTTTACTGTTTATTTGAAAGCCGGTGGAACCTTAGTTTTAAAAAGTGCAATTTATTTAATTAAATGCATTAAATGCATTAAATGCATTAAATGGATTATTTGATTAAACTGATCAAATTAAACTGATCAAAAAGAAAACCAAATAACTGCCAAATAATTGCTGCTGCTGGGGTGTACGTACAGCTAGCTGCATCCCCTGCGCAGCCAAAATGCTGCTTCCCTGATGAACTTCTTCAAAAGCCCAACAACAAAAAAACAAAAGAAAAGAAATGTTTTCGAAAGTGGCGGCGAAGAGCTGGCGGCGTTGTTGGGGGCTGCGCTCAGCTGTACGTACACCCCAGCAGCAGCGGGTCACTTGCTCGTTTTGTTTTTTGCAAAATATTATTTTTAAAAAATAAATTGAATTAAAAGTCAAATAAACTCCAAAAAGACCTTTTTAAAAAGCCAAAGTGGAATTAAAAGTCAAATAAACTCCAAAAAGACCATTTTAAAAAGATAAAGTGAATTAAAAGTCAAATAAACTCCAAAAAGACCTTTTTAAAACACCAAAGTTGAATTAAAAGTCGAATAAACTCCAAAAAGACCATTTTAAAAAGCCAAAGTGGAATTAAAGTCAAATAAACTCCAAAAGGAGCAAAAAGAAGATCTAATTGGCGGAAAAAGCTTCAAACGGACCCCCGATTTGCTTCAAAAGTGCCAAACTGAAAACCAAAAAATCCACAAGTCCCCCTCTTATTAAAGAAAAACAAATTTGGCTTTTCGCCGCAGAGGCCGAAAGCACTCCGAGTTCGTCGCGGCTTTTGGAAAGCTTTAAAAGTCTTCGTTGAAACTCGCAGCTGCTGCAGGGGCACCTGCAAGTGGAAAGTGGAATTAATTAATTAATTAATTAATTAATTAATTAATTAATTAATTAATTAATTAATTAATTAATTAATTAATTAATTAATTAATTGATTAATCAAATTGAAATTAATTAATCAAACTCTTTTAAATTAACTAATCAAACTCTTTTAAATTAATTAATCAAACTCTTTTGAAATTAATTAATCAAACTCTTTTGAAATCAATTCATTCAAACTCTTTTAAATTAATTATTCAAACTCTTTTAAATTAATTATTCAAACTCTTTTAAATTAATTAATTCAAAGTCTTTTTAAATTAATTCATTCAAAACTCTTTTAAATTAATTCATTCGAAACTCTTTTAATCTTCTCTTTTTTTTGAGTCCAAAAGACACTTTTGAAGACCCTTTCGAGTCAATTCGAAGTCCCAAGTTTGTACTTGCTGCCAGCAGCAAAGTGGTATTATTATTATTGTTATTATTATTGTTATTATTATTATTATTATTATTATTATTATTATTATTATTATTATTATTATTATTATTATAATTATTTGTACTTACACGGGTCGACCTGCTCCCACGCAGCAGCAGCTGGGGTGTACGTACACCGCAGCAACGCAGCTGGGGTGTACGTACACCGCAGCAACGCAGCTGGGGTGTACGTACACCGCAGGAACGCAGCTGGGGTGTACGTACACCGCAGGAACGCACCTTTCGCCGCCGCATGCAGCAGCAGCTGCAGCCCAAGTGAAAGAATTGAAAAGTGCGCAGCGAGCCAAAGAAGGGCCCAAACCGAAAGTGGCAATTGCTGCGGCAGTTTGGAGCTGCGGAGACACCCCACACTTGCTGGGGTGTACGTACACCGCAGCAGCCGCTGCGGGACGCACTTTTGAATTATTAATTCGACGAATTGATAATTCAAAAGTGCAAAAGAACAAAAGAAATAAAGATGCAGCTGGACTGCTAATCAAAATGAGGGAAAAGAATTAGTTCAACAAAAGTAAAAGTGGAAATAATTATTAATCAAGAAAGGGTGGCGCCAGCGACGGGGTGTCTGTACACCCCGCGTACCTGCATGCAAAGCAACTCTTCTTTGTTTGCTGCTTCACTTTTTAAACTTTTTTTGAAATTAAATAAAAGTTCGAAACAACTTTCGCGCGAGAAGCAAAGCGCCATTCTCTCCACCTGAGTGTACATACACCGCAATCCACTCCAAGTAACACTTTGGATTTTCTGTTCAAAAATTCATTTTTTATTTTCCAAACTTTTCCCATTTGCACTCCTTAATCAATTGGTTAATTAACCCATTAATTGCAATAAAAGAGTTAAAAAGAATTCAAACGAATTTAAAAGAGTTTAAAAGAGTCAAAAAGAATTAAAAGGAATTGAAAAGAACTGCAAAGAATTAAATTTATTAAATTTGTTAACTTAATTAAACAAATTTAAATAAGTAAATTAATCCATTTCATTTAATTAGTTAAATTAATCAAAGTAAATAAATCAATTTAATTAATTTAATTAAACCAATTAAATTAATTAATTCAATTAATTCCATTAATTAATTTAATTGATTTAATTAAACGTAAATAAGTAATTATTTACAAACCACTCTGTGGGGCGGAAAAGTCCAAAGCGCAGAAAAGAGAAGTCTGAGGGCGGCGAGTTGAAGGTGGGATTTCTTTTTATTTTTTATTTCTTTTTTTGTTTCTTCAAATTCTTCATTTCTTTCCAAATTCATTTCGCAATTATTTATTTTATTTATTTGATCTGTTGGATTTAATTGATTTGTCTGATTTAACGGACTTGTTTGATTTGATTGATTTAATTGATTTAATTGATTTAATTGATTTGAATGATTTAATTGATTTAATTGATTTAATTGATTTAATTGCATTTCTTTTGTCGAAGCTGTTTCTTCCAATTCGGGGGAACTGGCGGTGGTGCTGGTGGAAGCAGCAGCAGGGGCGTGTTGGGAATTTGCGAAGTCGGGATTTTGTGTTTTCAAAAAAGAAAGTAAACTTGAAATAAATAATTGCATGCGCTCCAACTCGTGGGATTTCCAATTAATGTCGACATAATAAGAGTCTCTTTCCGACAAAAAATAAATCAAAAGAGAAACAACTCCCATGTCGTCGTCGAAGGGGTCCAGCGACACCAGCGCGAGCTGTTCGTACACCTGAACGCCAAGTGCAAGTCGCCAGCTTTTTGGCTCCCAGAGGCTTCAAAAGAAAGCAAATTTGAATTATAAATAAATAAAAAAGAAAATAAAACTTTTAAAATCTCAAAAAAGTGAAAAATTCGCCAAAATGGCCAATTAAAAGTTGAATCGCGAAGCCAGCAGATGCAAGTCGGAGGCGGAAACTTGAACTTCGCTGCTGCTGCTGCTTTCCGTTGTTTATTTTCTTTGAATTTTGTTTTATTTTTAATATTTATTTATTTTAATTTCTTTTATTTCCTTTTTTATTTTCTCACATCCAAAATGCGCTCTATCGCGCCGGCGCTGACCCCGCGGGGTTCCCGCAGGATGCGGCAGTAGAGTGTATGTACACCGCAATCGAAGAAGGCCTGGGCGACTTGGCTTTCTTTGCGCGCGACTTCTTGTTGGAATTTGACTCTAAAAAGGGGGTTTTCTGTCGCATTTAATTCCATTTCTGTTTCATTTTTGTTTTCTTTTTCTTTTTCTTTTTCTTTTTCCCTTTTATTCCCCTCTTTTTCCGCTTCTTTCCACTCCCGCGCCGCCTCCGCCCGCGCCTCCAGCCGCTCCGCCGCCACTGCGTCCGCCACGGAGTGTACGTACACCTCAACGCCCCGCACGTCGCCCTCCGCCCAAAGCTCTTCTGCAGCTTCCACAGCGCACTTCAAGTCCGCAGCAAACTCGGGCCTCTGGGGGGCCCTTTTGTACATTCCTGGCATTTTATTTGGCGCAAAAAGGGCTCGAAAAGGGGCCTTAGAGGCGCAGTTTCGGGTGTACAGACACCCCAAAGCCCGGGGACGCGAAGTCCAGAAAAAAGAAAAAAAAATTAAATTTTTTTCTTTCAAACTTTTTTTTCAACTTTAAATTATTTCCGCTTCTTTCAAGTCTGCAGAGACCCGCTCTGCAGCTGAAAGGATGCAAAAAAGAAATAAATGGAGTTTTAAAAAGAAATAAATGGAGTTTTAATTTCTTGAATTAAAATTGGTTTCAAATTTCTTCTTTTTTATGCACAAAATAAAACAAAACGCCAAAGACAGCTCCCAACTCGCAGCCCCAGAAGCTGCGCGCTCGCGCTGCTGCTGCTGCTGCTGCTGCTGCTGCTGCTGCTTTCGCAGCAAGAGCAGCAGCAACTCCGCAGCAGCAGCTGAAATATATTTTAAAATAAATATTTTTTTCAAAAATCTTTTTTATTTTAATTTTAATTAACTTCAGGAGCGACAAATCCATTTGGCCTCTGCGCCGCAACAGCCAGAGCGGTGTGCAGTCGCCAGCGGCGCGACTGGCGCTGGGAAAAGCGCGGAATGAAGCAGAAAAGCATTTCAAATAAACATTTTGAATAAATATTTTGAATAATTGTTTTAAATAATTGTTTTAAAAGCATTTAAATATATTTTCTGAAATGATTTCTCCAGAGGAGTTCGGGTGTCGCCGCGGGGCTGAAGTGACTCTGTGTGTACACCCCAGCAGCGCGCGGCCAACTCAAGTGGAAACTGTCCAATTTTGCTCCTTTTTGGCTTTTTTTGAATTTTTTTCAGTTCAAAAAAGTGTTAAATTGTGAATTAAATGATTAAATAATTTAATAAAAGATAAAAAGGGGCGTTTGATCGGTGTTTGAAGAGGCTTGGGACAAATTTGCCGTGACCGACTGATCGCCGCAGCCACTCGCGACCCACTGCATGCATGCGCCGCGCCGTCTCCGCTGAAACTGCTGAAATTCGAAGTAAAATTACTTTATTTTGCATTTAAACGAATTTAAATTAATTTAAATTCATTTTCGTTTTTAAAAATTAACATTTGGCCTATAAATGGCCAAAAACGGCAAGGGATTGCCCCCAGCGTCGTCAGCGCCCACTCTCGAACTTGAAAAAAATTCAAAATTCGAATTATATTTCCACCATTTCACCGAATTACTTCAAAATATAAAAAAGTTTGAATTAAATTTTCATTATTTTAATAAAGTTTAAATTAAATTTTCATTATTTTAATAAAGTTTGAATTAAATGTTCATTATTTTACCATTTGCGTTGAAATGCCCCCAAATTCGCATTAAATGTCCATTATTTTGGCCATTTTCTTGAAAAAGTTTCAAAGTTTGAACAAACTTTCCACGATTTCACCAAATTACTCCAAATTATTTCAAGTTTGAATTAAATTTGCATTATTTTTTCATTTTTCTGAAAAAATGGAAAAATAATGCAAATTTAGTCTCAAAATTTGAATTAAATTTCCATTATTTCAAACATTTCTTGAAAAGGTTTCAAAGTTTGAACTAAATGTCCAACTTTTCGCGAAATTGCTCCGAAATGTCTCAAAATTTGAATTAAATATCCACCATTAAATGCATTTTCTTGAAAAGTTTCAAACTTTGAATTAAATATTCATCATTAAATGCATTAATTCTAAAAAGTTCAAGCTTTGAATTAAATATTTATCATTTCAAATATTTTTTGAAAAAATTTGAAATAAATATTCAAATTTCAAACATTTTTTGCCTGCAGCAGCTGCTGCAGCAAAAACAGCAAATTATATTACTTTTAAATAATATAAAATATATTTTATTGTGAACAAAATGGAAATAAACTTTTTAATTAATAATTCTTTTTTTTATTTTTGCATGCAATTCATCAAAGTGCAAAATGAGCTGCTGCATGCACTGCAACCCTTGCATGCTTCTGTCTGGCTGCATGCATGCAGCCTGCTGCTGCTGCTGCTGCTGCTGCTGCTGCTGTTGCTGCTGCTGCTGCTGCTGCTGCTGCTGCTTCAGAATAGCCTCAGCTCTTATAAAGATACTTTTAAAAAGACTTGTTTTAATTAATTGTGAAATTAAAAATACTTTATTATATTTAATTTTGAATTTTAAAAGTACTTTATTTTAATTAATTTCGAAATAGCTTATGAGACTTCTCTCGTATTGGAGGCCTGCGGCATATTTACTTTTGTAGAAAAGTCCAACACAAAACATAAATTTAATTTTAATTAAATTTATTTTTTTAAAAAATAAATTTAATTAAAATTAAAAATAATAAAATGCTTTTGCTTCTCAACTTAGCAGCAACTTCGCTGCACTTGTCTTCTGCTGCAGCACGCCACTGTTGCTGCTGCGCTGCAGTTGGCTGGCAGCAGCAGCAGCAAAGCTCAGCAGCAGCTGCTGCTGCTGCAGCAGCAGCTGCTGCTGCTGCAGCAGCTGCTGCTGCTGCTCTGCTGCTGGAGGCCTGGAAAGACTGAGCAGCAGCAAAAGCCAATTAAGAACTCATTTGGCATTTTTAGTTTAAAAAGAAATAAACTTTTAATTTTAAATTAAAAAAGAAATATATTTTTAATTAAAATATAAAATATATTACCAGTTTTTTAAAAGAATCCCGAAAGGGAAATGCCCAATTAAAAGATTTATAAAATGCTTTAAACAAACTTTAATTAATACTTTAACTAATAACAATAATAATAATAATGCTTTATATTACAATAAAATATTATTATTATATTATTACAATATATTAGTGATTAATTTGATTAAGTATTAAATTAATTAAATTAATCACCAAAAATTATAAACTAATTAATTAATTAATTAATTAATTGGTTAAATAATCAAATAATTAACTAATTAATTAATTAGATTATTACTATTATTATATTAATTAATTAGTTAATTAATTAATTAATTATATAATTAATCATTTGAATTATACTTTCAATTAATTAATTAATTAATTAATTAATTAATTAATTAATTAATTAATTAATTAATTAATTAATTAATTAATTATATAATTAATTAATTAATTAATTAATTAATTGAAAGTATAATTCAAATAAACTCTTTCAGCTAGAAAGCCAATCAGCACCTTTTGCTGCTGCAGCAATTTCCGTTAAATATAAATATTTATATAAAATGAATATAAATATTTTTATAAATTAATTATAAATAGTTTTATAAATTAATTATAAATACTTTTATAAATTAAAAATAAACACCTTTATAAAGGCATTTATAATTAGTTTATAAAAGTGTTTATAACACTTTTATAAAGACATTTGCAATTAATTTATAAATATATTTGTAATTAATTTATGAAGATATTCATAATGCCTTTATAAAGATATTTATATAAACTTTTAATTTGAGGATATTTATAATATTTTTATAAAGATGTTTACAATCAACTTATAAAGATATTTATAACATCTTTGTAAATATACTTATAAATAATTTAGAAAAGCATTTATAATACCTTTATAAAGATATTTACAATTAATAATAATATATAAATATAATAGTTATAAAAGTATTTATAATACCCTTATGATGGTATGTTTATAAAGACAATTATAATACCTTTATTAATAAATTGATAATTAAGTTATAAATGCATTTATAATGCCTTTATAAAGGTGTTTATTATTCCCCACAAAGCATGCAAGGACAACTGCAGCAAGACTGCAGCAAAACTGCAGCAAGACTGCAGCAAAACTGCAGCAAGACTGCAGCAAAGCTGCAGCAAAGCTGCAGCAAAGCTGCAGCAAAACTGCAGCAAAACTGCAGCAAAACTGCAGCAAACTTTCTACAGATTATTTTGTTTGAGCTGCTGCTGCAACGCCGGTTTGCTGC